CCCCAAAACCCCAAAACCCCAAAACCCCAAAACCCCAAAAATCTTTAAGCAAATTGAAGATAATGCGATTTTTATTTAGCTAATATGGGGACTCAATCCTTTAGGGAACTCAACAGGCAATAGCTTATTTTTCTCAAGGAACGCTAGAGATGTATTAATGAATTCAAGATACTTCTCTCCTACTGCTTCGCCAGTTCCAGCTGCGTTCATTTTGCTCCTGAGGACAGGCTTGAGCATTGCATCATCACTTTGAGAGGAGTGACCCGAATTTTCTACCATAATATTATAGCCTTGGTTTCCATTCTTCTTCATTGTATCTTCAAATAACTTGTCCCTGGTTTTGGTATGGTCATATCAGTCGAGTATTGGAGCATCATTGAAGAGGACAGTGTTCATAAAAAGTAATGGTTGTGTAATAAAGTATTCCTCTCCTTTGTTGATATCTTTATGTCTGGCGCTAAGATATGGGTCAAAACAAATGCATGCTTTAACGTCCTTCTTATAAAGTTTACTGAATTCAAGTATAGTCATCCCTCCTAATGAATGACCAAAAGCAGCCAACTTAGATGCATCAATGTGCTCGAACTCCTTCATTGATTCATTCTTGATATAATCTAGCAAAACTTCAAAATCTACAATTCTATCTTTAACCACTTTCAAATCAAATTCTTCTTGATCATACTTGTTACCATTGGCATCTTGCTTTGTATCAAAATCGTAAATTATTGGATACTGTACTTTGAGAGGGTCCTGGTTATAGTCTCTAGAAACAGTGGCTGAGCCTCCTGTGTGATTAAGAGTGTATACAATTCATCCATAACTTGCCAAGAAAGAAGCTAAAACAAGATGTTGTGCTCTCCTTCCAGCATATCCATGAGATATAATTACAGGAGTTAGCTTTTTGACTCCAGATTTAAAATCTTTATGAAGATTTCCATCAACGATTGCTCTAATACGGTACAAATAGCTATCTCTGAAAACAAGGTCTAGGAAGGTAGCATTGGTTGGCATTTTATCCAAAGCATCTGATTTGTACACTTGTTTAGCTAAAGGGACCAATTTCAGGAGACATTTTATTTCATCTTCCCCATCCATGTTATATATGAGAGTTCTCGAGGAGCTCTCAACATTGTTCAAGTATTCTTCCTTCTCGATTGGATATACAATAGAACACATGGGAGTTGTCTTTCCTTTGATAATTACATCCTTAATTCCTACTCCATAAGGACCTGATGGATCAGATACAAAGAAATAAGCATCAGAAGTAATTCTCTTCAGTGCTAAAGTTGTCAAGACTGCTTTTATGACATTAGGATACATCCAGTCTGGTAAGACAAGAGTAAGAAAACCAATTATGATCAAATTCATCAATGCTTTGAGCACAATCTCAAATCTTCATGATAAATTCAGCTTCAAAAACTTTGTGATAGCTGCTATAGCGATAGCAATCATCCAGAACCATCTGAGGTATCAAGAGAGAGGTTCTCCAACAATTTCAGTGAACCCAATGATCCCAGACACGTATGCTGGGAAGATAAAATTCTTTTCAAAGGAATTTACGAAAATCCTTTTTTCCATTAATATTAATAAATTTCAATTCTGAACACCTTATTAGGGGTTTTGGGGTTTTGGGGTTTTGGGGTTTTGGGGTTTTGGGGTTTTGGGGTTTTGGGG